TTCCTGCTGGAGACTTGAGCTTTGGTTCTGGGGCACAACTCAAAAATTCTGTACGTATTAGTACAACCTTAAAATGATTTTACTGCCTCCATTTTACAATTGCGTGAAATAGCGACTACTATTCTGATGACTATAATTCTCTCCACTCTGGCCAAACAGTTTATTAAACCTGTCACTTTTAACTGCTCTGCTTGATAAGCGTACTGTACCAATGGAAACTCTCAGTGAAGCTTAAATAGCTTGATGTGGTTTTCATCACTCTGGCCAAACAGTTTGTTAAACATGTCACTTTGCACAGCTCTGCTAGATAGGCGTGCTGTACCAATGGAAAATCTTCAGGCTTAAACATACAGAGTGGAGCCTTGCTAGCTTGACGCGGTTCTTTTCTGCATCATATTTTCCTCTGCAAAATCAAGTTGAAAGCTTGCTTTTTTCAAGTGTTAAAACATCAGTGGCTGACTCTCCATGCAGGTTGGTAATTGGTCTAGGCGGCTTACTGATATGTTTGGGATCGATGCTGATGATTGCTTGAAAGAAGATCAGCATGTTAGCGAGGATGATGACAAGCAAGATGGTGAAACTAAACCCTTCCTTCTTCTTAATGGCTTGAGCGATCTTCTGATGCTTCCAAAAGACATGCTAATGGACCGATCAATCAGGAAGGAGGTTGATTTTATAGTCTTATTGCTTTTGCATGGAAACATATGTTACTTGCACGGCCTTTGACGCAATTAATTTCACAACTGATTAATTTTCTACCTTTATGTTTCAAAGGTGTGCCCATCAATTGGTCTTCCATTAGTTAAGCGGATACTCTGCAATTTTACTCCTGATGAGTTCTGCCCCGATCCTGTCCCTGGAGCCGTATTAGAGGCATTGAACTCCGAGGTAAATCTTTCTTTCGCTGTCATTTCAATTTCATTTTGATGTTTAAAGCCGGATAGTTTTGGGAGAGTTGTCTTCTTTAGAGATAATACTGTCAAGCTTCGGAGATAACATGCTTAACAATGAAAGCATACCTATTTGGAGCTCTTGGACCACCTATGTTTTACGAGGGTGCTGATGCTGCCTCATTGGCTTATATTATATGCACATTTGCCTTCATGTCAGAATACTAAGCAAAAAACAACAAATATAGAAACTGATGCAATAAGCCATCGGTGCATGTTTTTTACATTTGTCAGAGTACCGTGGAGTGGAGACTGTCAGGAGATGCTGCCAGAAACTTCCCGTATACAGCTGCCCCAGTTGTGTACACACCACCTTCCTCTGCTGATGTGGCAGAAAAAGTTGCGGAGGCAGGGACCAAGTCTCAGTTGTCAAGGAATGTATCTGCTGTGCAGAGGAAAGGATACACAAGTGATGAGGAACTGGAGGAATTAGATTCACCTCTTACGTCCATAATTGAAAGATTGCCATCATCCCCAGCTATCAACATGGCCAATGGAAATGGAAAACACAAGGAATATGCAGCCGCAGGGGATTCGATGGCAAATGCAAGGTATGAACTTCTTCGTGAGGTCTGGTCTGCATGAGGATTGGGAGTTAATCTTGCTGTACATCTTTTCTTCTCTCTTAATTCCCTTCTTATCAATGTAAATATGAAGAAACAAAATCACTCTCGAAAAGTAAGCAGTGAAAGATGATTCAAGGTTTCAGGTTTGTTCAAATGCAGCAGCAGAAGCCATGCCATTTGCTTTCCTGTAAACTACAGTTTTTTAGTTGCTCTGTATTGTTTGGATGAGAATATTAATTTAATTCAATAAAAATATATTATCACCATTTACGTGCCTGGGAGTCTTGTTTAGTTCAAAGGAAGTAGTGGTCAAATTTCAAGGTGTCAGAGATGGCCAGTTCGCAGGCGTTGGCAGGACATGGCACTAGCTGCTAGTCGGGGAGGGTCAAGACTGGACATGAGATGGGGGGTGTCCAGTGGTGCCGCTCGTGACCTGAGTTTTTCGCAATTGTCACGGGGTTAAATTTTTCGCAATGAAAATCCAACCCAATGCGGCAGTCTAATCCCAACTAAACTCAGCCTTGCTTTCCCTTTTCGCTCGTGTTTCCTACGACTATGTGTTTCGCTTACCCAACGAAGTTCTCACAATTGCCAAGTCGTATAAAAGGAACAAACACAAGCAAGCATACAAGTTTACAAGAATACCTCTCAACCTTTATTTATCTCATCAACAAAGGATTACACAATACAAGTGTGTGTGCTATGCACAAAATTGCATGCTACACCAACAAGTTTACATACATTATTTTCTCTCTATGCATTCTATTCTCTATGTATTCTCCCTATACAACAAAGAATTACCATCATCATTTATAGCCAAGTATGTGAGCTGCAGGGCACCTCCATGATCCCCATATTTCAGGACATAATAGGTACTTACTCCCCCATGATCCCCATGATCATTTGTGGCTCACTCATATCCCTATTTCCAGGATATAGTGGAGAACTTCCTCCCCCATGTGCTTCATGATTTTAGCAACTTGGAAACACCCCAGTTATGCTCCCACTTTCTGCATACTTGCCTGGCAGCTTCATCTGCTGCTAAATCACCCACATGCCTTGGACAGTCCATCGTCCAAGTTTTAGATCTTGCCAAGTCAAGCCCCTGACTTGCGCAAGCTCTTGTGCGCTGCCGAGTGCGCACCCTGGGTAGCAGGTCGTCAAATCCACATCTACGTGCAGACCCCCATGTCTGCGCTGCCGAATGCACATCTACGTGCAGGCCCCAAATCCTGCGCTGCCGAATTCACAACTGCGTGCAGGCCCCAATCTTGCATTGCCAAATTCGCTTCTGCGTGCAGACCCCAATTCCTGCGCTGCCGAATTCGCATCTGCGTGCAGGCCCCAATTCCTTCGCTGCTGAATTCGCAACTGTGTGCAGGCCCCAATGTTTGCACTGCCGCATTCGCATCTGCGCGCAAGCTCCCAGTGTCTGCGCTGCTGAATTCCTTGACAGCCCCAATTCTCGTCCGCCCATATCCCAGACGAGTTTTCCTGTCTCGCTTGGACATTCCATCGCCAAGCCCATAGACATCACCAATCTGTGCTGCCGCATTCCTCGACAGCCCCAGTTCTCGTCAGCCTATGCCCCTGACGAGTTTCCTTGTCTGGCTTGAACATTCCATCGCCAAGCCTATGTTTGTCAACATCCTGCGCTACCCCGCATTTCTCGACAGCCCCAGTTCTCGCCAGCCTATGCCACTGACGAGTCTTCCATTCTGGCTTGGACATTCCATCGTCAAGCCCAGCATTCTGTGCTGCCGATGTTTCCTTTGACAAACTTATAGCCGCATAAATCTGCGCTGCTAATTTATCCCATCGTTGGCATAGCTGCCAGCACCCTTAGGCCTGGTATTGGACAGCATGCCTTAGGTGTGCACCCCGTGCACATTTAACACTGTAACAAACCACCCCCACCAAAAGAACCCGACGCCCTCGTCGGACAGATTTGAAGTACCCTTTACTCCACATCTGTTCCTTGTCACCCTCCATGTATGCCCCCCATGAAGTCTCTCTCTGGCTTTGTCCACATTCAACAACAATTCCATCCATCGAATTTCATCAACCTGTTTCAAAGCCAAATTGTGACACTTTCTGTTTTTGGCTCGTTGATTTTCCACAAATGTTAAACCCATTATACTTGCAAGCATGTTTTCGCAAAGTTTGGATACTGCATCTAGCACCCAAGGAATCCGTCCCTTCCTTCACAAAATACAGCCATACAAAACCCCCGCCAAAGAATCATAAGAACTCCCATATGAACCCATCATTCCTCAATTGTTTCATATTTCACCTGCAAGTAACCAAAATGAGACACTACAGTTGGATCTAGTACCAACTCCATCCTTTGATCAACTCCATCTCATGTCGAAGTGTTTCGGCAAGGTCCTCAGTCCATCTGCAACCTACCATAGCACAAACACATAGCATCCCAGCATCAAAATTTGGTCTGACCTGGTTCCCCCATGCGCTATTGTCATGCCCCCGAAACTTCATCACCCCCACAAGACTTCGCTGACGCAAAATAGCCCCTATTGTTTTCCACCTGCGCTGCATGTTTCGTCCACCGAAAACTCACAACACTGTATCTCAACAAAGGCCACTAGCATTCTGCTTCTATCACTGCAACCATCCATTGTCGCAAAACATAGAATAGTCACCCGTACTGCCTCCAAGACAGCACTCAAAATCATCTTCGTCGACGATCTTGACTTCTCAGCCGAGCCCACTGAATCGGCTGTTGAATCTGTCACCTAGACAGTTCTTCATCAATTTGCAGACTCTTCAGACACACCCCAACGCGGTACTACCTCTTCGGTACTGCCTCCTCTATGATTTGAGACATACCCCTACGGTACTGCCTCCTCTATGATGCTTCCCCTCCAAAGCAACACACCAAACTAAGTCCATCTAGTTTAGCTCCTCAACCAAATCCCTCAATGACTTGGTTGCTGAATTCTTCACCTCAATCTGTCCTCTTCGTCAAGGTGCCTCGAATTCCCGATACCACAGGTATTAAATTGCAATACTGCATACTTGTCCATTGTACCACAATCAACTCTTCCTGTCGAATTCATCTCAGCCTATGCCAGACTGCCGCAATCCATCGCTGTTGAATTCTATGCAGTATGTTTTTCGTTGGCGCATCCTCACACCTAGAGTTAAACCATGATCTCTCCATCATCATAGGTATGAAACTCTCCCATCTTGGTCCCAACATGACTAGAGCCCATCTCTGCCATTGTTCTGTCTTCTTCACCCTGCATTGTCCATCATCAAGGTCTCCCCATCGAAGACACCAATTCTGCCTCCCCCAAGGCAGTAAAGTCACCAAAATCTTCGCAACTTTGTCTTGCCATTCGACCAAGTCTTCATCAACTTCGTCATTGGATTTTGCTTCTCACACCCTAACCATTCCTTCGTCAAGATGATGCACAAAAATCCCCCAAGTTCTGCCCCCACAAGGCAGCAAGCAGGGCCAGACAGCATCCTCACCGATATGCTGGCCCATGACGACTGAATTCTATCTCGGCCATCAAGCAAACACATAAAATTTGCACATGTCACATCCCCAACACCATCTTCCACACTGACAGCATCAAGGTTTCCCTTTGTTGGGCAACAGCCCCAACCTTTTCAATGACTTCAAAAGGCCCATCATATCTTGGCACCAACCCTCGGTGCTTCGACGTCCCCATAATTTTCTTCCAAATTTGAGGAGTTAACTTGAGTTTTGAAGCTCTTGGGTGTCCAGTGGCGCCGCTCGTGACTTTGAGTTTTGAAGCTCTTCGGCTCTCGTGTGGGTCTGGTCCTAAAAATGAAATTAAAAACGAGATGGTTGCCTTCGATATCGAACCCGGCTTAGGGTGGCTTGGTGGCCCGGAGTCTAGTTGAGATTTTCTTCTTTTAACCATTTTGGATATTTAAACTTGTGATTCGGTGAATTAATATGTTAGTTGGTTTAACTAGGGAGGCTTGATGGAGTCAACTTTAATAAAAAAAGAAAATGCTCTTTTTCTTGAACTATTATGTTTTAGTTTTTGTGAAAAAATAATTTTATTTTCTTCAAGTCACTATGACAATATTATTTTGCGTTGGGTTGATTTGGGCTTATAATTTGAATGAATCAAATTTGACAATTATAATAAATGTTTATTAAATGTTTTTTAATGTGAAAAATAAATTTTAAAAAATAAAAAATATTATTTTAAATGTATTAAAATAACATTTATTTATTTATATTTTACATAAAAAATAATCTGAAAAAATATATATAAAAAAATATTTAATCTTTTTTATAAATTGACTGTATTTCTAAACACATTTTAAATCCAACTAATAATTTCCCAGTCACCCATCGTTTCTTTCAAGGAAGACAGGAGAATAGAAAATAAACATAATGAAGGACCAAAATTATACTTAATTGAATCAAACAAAATAATTATTAAAATTAAAAGTATAGGTGGTGTTGTAAACAGTTTCAAAAACCCTAGTGATGAAAACAGAGAAAAAATAATTTCACAAATAAACTATTTTTTTAGCCATAAGCCCTCCACTAATTAACTATTTTCCCGTTAACAAAGCAATTAGAATACATAGGGTTATTGATTAATACATGCGATTTCCACTTAATAGTCTTAAACTCGAACATAAAGAAATGGGATGGGCTTTAGCAAAGAAGAAAGAGGACCCCACCGTGTACACCTAGTTCTTCCGGGCTTTCCAAACCGAAGAAAAGGGTGTTGTAATTGACATGAGCATAATCATGCTTGGGCAAAGTCCTCAAATTTCCACTCCTGATTCTGCTGTGAACTTGTAAATGTTTTCAGAACAACCAATATCATGTCTCGTCATGGAACAAGTCGAGATTTTCACCATTAGCATTGAGCAAGCTAGCAATTAGTTCTTTTAAAATAATTGCCTAAGCATTTTGATGTTTTAACTTGTTCGATCAATGTCCCAGCCGAAAGGTTCAAAACCCTAAACCCAAAGTCCGGTGGAGCAGACAATATCATACAAACTGACACATTTTTCTTTATGTTTTCTTTTTAAAAGGAAACTCAAAACGAGATATATGAAATCAAGTTTCATTTACATACAAAAGACCAGAAGGAAAGAAAAACAAAGAGGGCTAATCTTCCGTTTCGAATATTTATACTGGGACTGAGTTCTCCTCGGGAGTGGACAAGTATGAGTCTGAAACGTGGGTTTTTGGGCCTAGAGACTGAAGTGCTCTAGTAACTTCAAGCATTGATGGTCGTTTCTCTGGCAGCA